TTTTTTTAATCACATTGACGGGACTCTGTTTTACTGGTTCTGAACCAAAAACATCAGCTGGACTAATGAGTTTTCGTTTTTCAGATAATTTTTGTTTCGATTTACCAACTGGTGTAGGAGGAACTACATCGTCTTCATCATCACTTGATAGTACATGCCGTTTTTTTGATGATTTTCCTTTTTGACTTGATGATATTGTATTATTTAAKTTTTTTTTATCATTGCTTCCRTCAGTTTTTGCAAAATATGATCTTATATCCTAAAAAATTAATTTTATTCTTAAAAACTTTGTTGTAAACATTGATGAATAGTGAAAATGTTTTAACTTAAAAAAAAATACGTAAAATTGAAACGCAATCATGAGTTACTACTTAATTTTAGTTTATAATGCATATTGTGCTGATAAAAAAAAAATTATAATACTTGCATTGATGTTATTACTACACTTACTTTAGGCATGTTGTCTTTAATATATATACAAGCACAGCGTATAATTATTGTGAACGAGTGATTAGTCACGAATATCTATATAATAGCTGTATTAGATATTATGTTATTATTGTATATGGAGATGATGTAGATAATTTAAACTAATAGTAATTCGAATTCATCATAAAAAGGGTTTTGAACTAACCGTGAGATGTGAAAAATATTAAATGTCAAACATTGAATTGAACCGCCAAAACAGTAAACACCAATACTGAATACACCATTATTATTTATTAATATTTAAAATTTCAAATTGTATCAAAATATCAACCAGTTATCACGATAATAATATAACCACAAAAAGTTTATTGGAATAAAATGTGGCGTCACTTGTYCCACATCAACGCGACAAGACGTGACCTACACGGGCTACAGCTGCAGGCTGATGCATCACCAAACCACACAATGTTTCATTTAATCTGTGGTAATACGGTCTCGTGCGCTGCTGCGTGAAACGTAATAACTAAAAACGGTCGAGCACAATATCTTTTTACTTCAAAAATACTTGACTTTTTTGCTAATATATTCGTTATTATTCAACCAATTTTTTCGAAAATTACAAAGGTATAATCTACAAATCATGCCCGATCTATTGATACCACAAACAGACCAATCCGTTCATTCATTAGGTCTGTAGCCCYGGCTAAAGAAAACGGGCAAATTTACACACATTCAATGGGCAAACTGGCTCGTGTAATATACTACGCATGGCTAAATAACTAGGTATGATCTTAGTTCCGTGATACGCATGTCGATRACGTCAGCCGGAAGGAGTTCTTAAACCCGCCAAAACGGCTGGCTGTGCCCTAAAAGTTTACTGCCGGTTGACGTCATAATTCAATGTMAAGAAYRATAAATTAGCTGTTTCTTCCATGAATGCGCTCATTGAACCAAATTTGGTAATTATGTGATCATACCTAGTTATTTAGCCATGGTATCATAATAAAATTGTCATTTCTATTCTCAGGCTCTCAGTTTTACACTTCTTGTTCTTTTTTTATTTATAGAAATAGAACCTAACAGTACAGATTAAGTAAAACTTATTTACTAATTTACTTAATCTGTGCACAGCTCCTACTTTATATTACCATTTATTAATCATGTTAGCATGTTGTTACCAGATAGATCTTCCCCAGCCAAAGCTAATGAGTCTTCGAGCAACAATAAGCAAAGGTATGAATAGTGCCAAAAGACAGAAATTTATTAAATATATATATTTTTTTTTATTTAGTTCCAACTCAATAAATTTACCGTGGGTCACTAGTTGGGAATAATTAAAAATTGCAATATAGTATTTTTATTTTAAGTTTCTATACAATTTTATTTGGTTTTGGTGATCCTTAGGTTCGTGATGTTAGATCAGCATTAACACTATCCCTAAAATCAATAGCATTTAAAGTGATCTATATTTCTTGTATTAGTGTAGTWCTTTAAAATGTAGGACTTAATCATAACAATTTTCACAAATATTAATCTATTTGCTTTGATATGGATAAATATTCAATTATTTAGTTTTTTTTTTAAGTACCCAATAACTATGGTTTGGATTTCAATGCAAAGTGCATCTTTTTTTGATTGATCATAGACAATGCTTTCCAAGTATAAAACTTGTTTCATTTAACGAGTGTTTCAAAGCTAAACATTTTATTTTGCATTTTTAGCATTATTGGGTCATTTTTATGGTTTTTAATGCATATTCGTTCAATATACTATACAAATTTAGCATTTTAATTAATATATATTTTAGTATCTATGTTGAGAATGAATAGTATTGCCCCAAAACATATGCGTGCCAACAACATAGCAGCATCAATTCAATTTTTTCAATATTTTTTTTTTTTTCAATAAAATAACAAATTGTATAAAAAATAAATATAAATGGCATGTTTAAGGTCATTTTTTTAGGTAAAATGCATTTTCTAACTACATTTTTGGCTATTTTTTAGAGCATATTTGTATGGTTTAAAGTGCATTTMAATCCGGGCCCTACAAATAACTTTAAAATTAAAATTAAATAGAATAATTAATAGTTGATCAATATTATTTAACTGATTCATAGGCAAAATATCATATTGATATGATATTATATCTATGAATTKCTCTTTTACTTTTTGAATTTATTTTGAACATTTTGGTTTTCAGAGAAATTAAAAATCTTACGTAATATGTGTGAAAATATTATTACCAACCAAGCAACAACTGATTTAAAAAAGTTATTTGATGAAGGTGCTCTAATTTCAAGAATGTGCTGTAAAGTAAGGAAAAAATTTCGAGGAGAGAAACTTTTTAGACGCCTTAAACAAGTAATTATCAGTTGCCTCAAAAACACTGGATAGGTATTAGTTAAATTATTTTTCAATACATTTTGTATTAATTTAGATTACTGTTTCAATAAAAAAACTTCATCAACTAAATATCTCTGAAGTTATACTAATTTTACTGTCGACATTTGATAATGGTATGCCATCAAAACAAGCTTGTCAGTGGGCTGGTACCCGTATTTTAGCAGCTTTAAGTCTGATCAATCAATTACAGCAATTTGGTGAAGGAACAGCTCAACTAATAGTGAAAGTGTTCCAGAATGGTCAATGTTGGTTAGAAATGAACATTGCCCTTGCTATGGTTAGCAGAGTGTGGATACTTACAAAATCATTAAACAAATCATTTTCACGGTCTTATCAAAATTTTAGGCCTTTAGTGAATCAATCAAAAATGTCTGAAGCTAAATGGCTACCAAATTTTGAATTACCTGAATKCTTAAATAATAATATAGTAGAAAATAGTCAGAGGTAAATGTACATAAATACTAAATAGTAAATACTAAATCATCAAACCTAACCTTACATAGGTTTTATAATTTTAATAATATAATTTTATTATAGTGAGCCAGTTGTGGATTTAGTGAAAAGACCAGGTTCTGTTATGTGTCGAAAACCAGAACCAGAAGATCCAGTTATAAAAAAGAGAAAAAGACCTGGAAAACTAATAAGAATGTTACAAGAGAAGCATAAAAATAAAATTAAAGTTGTTAAAAAACAAAAAACAAAGTAATTATATAATGTATAATTTTTGATGTGTTGATTATGTATTCATTAAAAGCCTTTTTTAATTATATTTTCTCGAAGAACTAAATAAATTTCTTATAATTTTGGAACATTTTGTGGATTTTTATTATTTTGGTAATATATCTACCCCACACAACTCATTTATATATAGTTACAATGTGTTAATACAATATTTTGTGAACAAATTTGACTTAGTGACTCTCACACATGTGATTAGAAGGCCTATTATCACATATTATTTGTATTATATGCTTTTAAAGTCATTCCGCAAAAGAGGAATTTTATTACTCCATCAAAGGCCTTTTTTTGCATTTTTTTTTATTTCATTAGTTTCATTATTAGGTATACTGAAAATGATGGTGACAATGGCGCCCACAGGTGAGGCCAAAGGGGCTATTGCCCCTACTGAGAATATTTTAAAACTATTAATGCCCCGCATATTAGACATTTTTAAAAATCAAAAACAAAAAATTATTGAAGACGTTATATACAATCATTTTATATGCAAATGCAACCAAGATGCATACAACTTTTATTCGATAATTAATATAAATATAATTAATTTGTAACATCTACATTAACATGTATTCAAAAAATATTATTATTGTATTGTAAACCTACACATATAAGGAACTTATATGACATAATGTTGTTTTAGATTCTGAACGAAGTGATGAATGTATTGATTTTACAATGATGTGTGTTTTTTTTTTTTTTTTGTGTCTGTGTACACCGTGACGATTTATACAGGCGAGTTAATTTCATTC